ATAGGTTGGTTTCTTGATAGTCAGGAAAATAAAATTAACACGTACCACTTGGCACTTGCTAAATATTATATATATCAAATATATATAATTTATTAAAATTAACATACATTTAAAGGGTGAGAGTAAGGCTTACACTTTCTTTCCCCCGAACTGCATTCCAGTCTCAAATCTCCAACTCTCTATTACATTCCAGCAAATTTCAATTCCAATTTCAATGATGTGTGGGCTGATGGGTATCATTTAGGCGACCCAGCGACCCAGACACTCTAAATACTGTTTAAGTTGATTTTTTATGGCTTTCCTTAGTTTGCAATGATTAATATTTATTTGCATATTCATATGTAAAAAAAAGAGAGAGCGAGCACTGCAATTGCTATTGAAATTGCCTGAAATACCCTGTAGAGTCTACGGTCTATCAGGCCCAACCAAGACATATGACTTGTTCACAATTCCCTGGGTATTCACAGGGTCGACATCCGCCTCGCTTCGTTGTTGTTGGCTTACATAACACGTTTTAGCATTTCATTAAAGCAAAATTTTAGCTATGAATGCGCAACTGACTGCAGCAGCAACAACAATAACTGACAATTCCAATTGACTAACTCAGAGCTGCGGCGCTGCACTGGATGCTTCCAAGGGAAGGAGTGGGAGTGTTAACCCCCACACACCTCCGCCCCCACACACGCAATGCATTAGAGTGTGTGTGTGTGCAAGAGCTTCTCACACTGCACTTGCAGAAGTGCGAACAGGAGCACAGCAGCCACAGATCCGTCGCTTATAATCTTTTCACTTCCAATCTTCCCTTCGCATTCCCCAATTCCCATTTCCATTGGGTGCGATATTGCTTTCCATACAGACGCGGTCAAAATGAGAGCTTCACGGCTCCACTGCCACATGCACATAAAGAACTAGCTAGCTTAGATCTATGTGTATATACCCAAATAAATTCATTAAAATTGTTTTAAATTAAAAAACAAAAAAATTTGTTAATATTTGTAAATATTAAACTTCATATGATACTTTGTTATCCTAATAAAAACCAACATACACAAGATTTTATTATTAAAATTAATGCATATTTGGCATATTTTAAAATTGATTTCAAATTTAGTTGCCTAAGCTAAACTGCCACACTTTCAGGGTTTGTAAACTTCAAAGTCGGCTTTCTTTCGTGTTATACCCTTCCAAAGGTATTATAGTTTTAGTTAGGAGCTTGTAAATCTATGAAGGAGTCATTTTCGACTCTATAAATCATATATATTCTTGATCAGCATCAACAGCCGAGTCGATCTGGCCACCTCAGGTAAAAAATATTTTTTTTCAATTTTTTTCAAAAATTTTTAAGGGGTTTCATCGTTAAAAAAATTGTTCAAAATGATTTTTTTTTTAAATTTAAACTGAGTATGCAGATTTATTAACCCATTAAAAACTAACACAGGACAGCTTTTGGAATTAAAATTAATGCTTTTTTGGCTTAGTTTTGAGATTTTAAGACTATGATTTTGTCGATAAAATTGCCATATAAAATTATCATAAAATATTGATTAAAATATTGTGATATTTTAAGCTTAGTTCTCATCGATTTGTGATTCGATTCTATAAACTAACTATCCTATTTTCCTGACCCCAACTGTATCTGTGAGTCGCCCTCGCTTTATGTGCACTTTCTTTTTGGGGCACTTTTTGGCACGCTTCGGACATCGCAGCTGCTGCAACAATTTCCATATGCCACTGGCAAACGCTCCACCCACCCACCTACCCCTCATGAACCCACACGACCCCCCTCCGCCCCTGGGCGCCCCTGTGTTCGTCGTCGCCACTTGGCGCTTTTAATGCTCATTTTATTCCTTTATAAATTCGCTATTAGATGCCAACAGCGTCGACGGCGACATAGAACTTTTCTTGTGTTGGAATATACTTATATTAGTTGCCGTAGTTGTTGCTATTGCTATTGCTGTTGCTGTGCCTGCCGTTAGTGTTGTTGTTGTTATTGTTGTTGTTGTTGTTGCTGCCCCACAGTGGGTTCTGTTATTGCCATTGTGTTGTTCTTGCCGCTAGCCGTTTCTATTGGAGTCCTTTGTCCAATCAGAGAACAGATGACGGGATCCACAGCGAATGGTGGGGCAGCATGATGCGAGTAAGTGTCTAAAAATAGCCCACTGTACATTCACTGGGCACGAAGGCGCACACGAAGCGATACGAAGGCGGACCAGAGCCACGAAGCTTTCGCTTTTTCGCCCCCCCCCCCCCCCCATCCCCATCACCATCCCTATCCCCATCTCGACTCGACTGTTTTTGCTTTCGGCGGTCGCGTGGAAACGTGAGTGGGACAAACAAACTGTGTGAGCGAAAAACGAAACGGAATGGAATATGGAACACAGCCGGTTGGCAGCAGCTCCACTCTCGCTCTCTCTCTCTCTGGCTCTCACACTGCCTGGTCGAGTGGAGCATTTGTTATTGTTTTTATGCGACTTTGTAGCCGGCGTTTAGGTTGCTTTTTTCGCCGGTGTTCCATTCCCACCCAACCCCACCGCTTGATAGCGGGTAGAATTCTCACTTGCAGCTCCTTTGGCGTCCTTCTTCTCGGCGTATTCGCTGCCCCTATTTGAGCGTTGTCACGTCCCCACATTCGGCCTTTCTTTACTTCCTTTCCTTGTCGCCTTTTTTGTGCACCGTTAGCTGATAACCGATAACCGATAACTTATCACACAGCCACAAGTAGTAGTTAATGCTGTTGTTGTTGGTATTTATGCAATAATTAAGTGTGTTCTTGGGCTTTATCGGGTCTTTGGGTCTCGGCTTTTGCGGTTTTCCTGCTTTCAAAGTTTGTTGCGAAAAAACCCTAAGCAGGATCATAAAATGGACATTAAACTGATTATATTTTATAATATAATAAAGCCCATTATGTTATGTTATATATTTTTACGAAACTTTATAAATATCAAATAAAATATTGAATTAATAATCATTACAATTATCAAAGTCGCTTAAAAAAACAATTCACTTAAAAGAAGATCTTTTGATTCGCTGATTCCTTATTTCCAATATGTATTACATATATATTATCATTATTTAATTTTGTTTAATCTTAGATAAGAGAATACCTGGGGTAAGTCATGATATACAATGTGTAAATACCTTTGTTCTCTATCTTTATCAAATAATTGTTTTAATCAATTGTGACCTTATATTATTACTTTGCTTGCTTAAAAAAATATTGCACTTTTTAAATAAAAATATTAATAGAGTTATCTTCAAAATTCTATTAAATTAATTGTGCAACACAACCGGCTGCGCATGCCGCCTAAGCTCAAGAGAGAAAGAGAGACAAGAGAAGGAGTAATCGAGAGCGAGAGGGATCGATGAGGAGCATAAAAAACTTTTTCAAGGTCATGGCGTCGCTGCTGCCGACGTCGCTGCATTTGAAATGCGAATGCGTGTGTGCAGCGCCCGGTCCGATGCCAAACGTTCCGCCCCAGTCACGAGCCCCACACAGAGCCGGAGAAAGAGAGAGACAGAAAGAGAGAGAGAGAGAGAGGGAGGTAGCGAGGGAGGCTAAAAGAGAGCTTCGAAACGCTGGAATCAATTGATGGAACGACTCAATGTCTGGGGGTGGTGGGTGGCAAATTTGACAGCCGAAAAAAAATGCTAATATTGATAAGCGGACAATGCTTTCGCTATTTTCGTCATTCCCACACATCCGCCGCTATAAATGTGTACAAAGATCCATAGTTAATCGATCGATCTGTCGGATTAATCCGTAGAGTAGTGACAGTGTTCTGTACCTCCCACTCCCTAGCAAAATTCCCTGGGGAGCTGTCCCACTGTGCTCCCCTTTTTTGTTTTTGCTTTCTTGCTTTCTGCTTTCGAATTTTGGCTCTTTCGCTTTTCCACGCACATTCACACACACACACACACACAGCACACATGAATATTCGATTTTCGGATATCTGCTTTGCCGTTCCGATTCCACTTCCACATCTACTTCCAGGCCAGAGGGCCAGTGGCTGCGCAAAAGGGGGTCTTCTGAATTTTAATTCAAACATTAACTTTTGATTTAATTCAGTTGAGCTATAGATATTGTTAGATTCGTTATTGTATTATTATATTCATTATCTTTTTTTGAAATACCTCATATTTTTTAATATCGAATTTGCTTATTCTCTTTTTATTTCAATCCCTTGACACAGATTAGTAATTTTCTATTATTAAAGAGCACACCTTTTGTTGATTTATAAATCTCTTAGCTAAACAATCCACAGCTTAACTGATCGTTAACTTTCACAGATATAAAGATAGTTAGCTCTTGTAGGAAAACTATCTAACTATCTATGTATACTATCTAACTTGAGTATCTCGAAATGTACAACCCCTTTTTTAGCCCCAACGCCTCTGTTCGATGTTTGTAGTGCGTTTGTTTATTTGTTTGACGTGGCCCGTTGCCAATCGTTCCTACCGGTCGGTCGGTCGCTTCGACGGTCGCATCGGCGTCGCCAGTGTCTCAATGCTTTGCGTGTACCAGACTCGAACGCAACGCCATACAGTCACTGTCGCTGTCGCCAACTGACGCCGCTGCCAGAACGACCGACGACGCGTTCCCACCAACCCACCCCGTTCCGTTTCGAGCCGTTCCCCGCACCACCACCCCCTCCTTTTTGACACAACACTGCCGTTCTTATTAGATTTTATGGCGGCGCGACTTTGACTTAGAACAGCAGCAGCAGCAGCAGCAGCAAGGGGCAGCAGGGGCACGTAAGAACAACAACAAAAACTACAACAACAGCGGTGGCCGCGCCTTTTGGCCGTTCCGATTTCGTTTTGGACCGTTCGCGCGTGCTCGTTCCTTATGCCATTTCGTTGCGTTCTCGCAGCGTTAGAATCGTTCGGTCTCTGTCGCAGCCGCTGTCGCTGCCGGCGTCGGCTTCGCTGCCGCTGGCTGACTTATTGGCTTTAAGCGAATTTGAACGTCGCTCGGACTTTTATTCAACGTGTTGGTTCCGTCGCGTGAGCAACTCTGCCACAAATCGAGCAGCGGCAAGCATTCGCAGCGGAAACTGAAACCGAAACCCCGAAACAGAAACAACACTAAATTCACAACAAATTACAAGCAAATAAATTATAAACAAGCAAAATACAACAAACACAAACCGATGAATAGAAAAACCAAAATATACAGAATATTCCCCTGTAAAAGTCCCCCCGCACAAAACTCGCGAAACGTTTATTGTGTGTTTAATGAAAAATCACAAGTTCTGACCATATTATACAAATACCAAACATATTTTTTTAAAGTGTGAACCCACAAAGTGCTTTAAACCAACAACAACAACAACAACTACTATTACTACAACTACTTCTACCAAAATGCCTTTAAACAGCGTCACGCTTTAGTGTCACGAGTGTTAGAAAGTCCCCACCCCTTAATTGCAAGACCAATTTTTGAAACTAAAACAGGTGTCCCGTTTGCCAGAGTCTGCCACTGGGAGCAGTGTTGGTAAGCGGTGCAACTAAACAGATTGTTGCCAAGCGCAGCAGCGAAACAGTGTTAGCAAGCGGCCAACGAAGCAAAGGAAACAGTAGCAGCAGGTGGCCGAAAACAGAACAAACAGGTGAGCAAATTGGTTTAGAAACCCAAAAACTGAGAGTCTTAGAATCTGGGATTATGAGAATTCATTCCCCCATCTTGACCCATCTTCTTAACCTTAAAAATACAAAAAATACGTGACTTTCATCACACATTTTGCAGCAGTTCCACATATTATCGCGAGTAAACAAAGTCTCCACCTCCTGACATATAAATGTGGGGGAATCCGTAGCTAAAAGCCCTTCGTTCTCATTCTCATTGCGGTCAGAAAAGTACTGGAAAGTACCCAGAATCTTTACAGAGAGATCATTGATCAAAGGTGCCCACTGAGAGGAAAGGGTTTCTAGGTTTCGTAATTCATAATATTCTGGATTTTGCAATAATACTGAAAAGTGTATTTATTCCTAAATGCAATAATTTCCTTCTTGATGAACAAATAAAAAACAACATCAAAGGCCTTCATTGATTACACTTTCAAGGAATTTATTACATTTTTTCATAGTAAACTCCAGATGAGTTGCCGCTAAGGTCCATTCATACCTTTTTGGCAAACTCTAAGGCACTTATCACATCACTTGACATTTTCAGTAGAATCATTCATTTCTCCGATAATATATATACACACACACTCGAAAATCCCTGTTGTTGATAGATAACAGCTTTAAGGTTATGAATGGAAACTGGTGTATGATGTGTACTATATATCATTTATACCCTTTCGAAAAAATACTGTTGGATAACCAAGTACTTTAGGGTTTATTAGATACTCTTTCTTGGGGAAAGATACGAAATGCATTGGCAAGGTGGCTATTGCCAACTCATCACCGGTCATATACACACAGACAGACACACACGGGGAGGTTAACAGGTGTTTTGCCTCTTTGCGCACTTCTTTTGCTCGTTCGCAGTGCCTTCATTAATCAGCTGGCTTCTGCTTTGGCTGCACACAGGCACTCACAGATACGCAGCCAACAGATACATAGATACAAAGATATAGAGATACTGTGTGCCTGCCATTTCGAACCATTGCCAATTGGATTTATGGACAATTTGGCCAAAAACTTTGTGCTCTGTATCGCTGGCAAATGCATTCATTAATGAATATATATTTGTATATTTTATGTTCAACCATTTCCAATCCCCCCCTTTGCCTTGTGTAATAATATTACTAGCGTAAAAACCCTCCCCTGCTTAGCAACCAACCCCGAAAAGGACTTACTTATCCCAAAATCGCTGTTGCCCGTTGCGCATTTTATCGCTCAGAGCGAATTTATGCCCAAGTATTGCGGAAAACGCCACACCCCACACCCTGCACACCCTCCCCCTCCCCTTGAGGAAAGGGGGGTACATAGTGTGTACAATGTACACGCTCTGTGCCCCAGAACTCTTTTGCCACTGCGAGTGTGTGCTATGTGAATGAGCGATGAATGATGCCCATTGTTGGCATTCCAACAACAACAACAACAAAAAATAACATAGAAGAAGACGCAGTAGTTACAGTAACTGAACACTGGAAAAGGGGAGGGAAGGGGGAGCGGGAAGAATCCACCCAGTCTAATGTTCCGAAAAGAGAGCGAATATCAAGATGTTCTTTTTTGGAACCACATGTAGTAGCAGTATCTCCAGGGGCACTGTTAGAAAATAAAGGGAATATTCTATAAGCATTGAGTACCCTTAAAAATTAATATAAAAAAGATTAGAAAAGGGTCCCCCAGGGCTATGATTCAGGCTTTAAGATAAATAAAAACTGAAAACTCAATATATATAATATTAAGATGACTTATTTCATAAGCATAAGCATAAGAAATATTCTAATCAACTTGTAAAAGAAATATGTATATATGCATAAAAAAGGTTTAAATAGAAACTGAGGAGAGTATTAAGATTAAGAAGAAATATTCTAATTAACTTGTTATATAAAAGTATATACAATAATATTATTTAAAATATTCATAATTCAATTATAAAATAGCTTATTTAAGCTTACAAATTCTCTATTTCACTATATATATTTATATTAAATATTTTCCTATTCCTATTAATGTGTATGTTTAGCCTATAAATATTATTTAATAATATTCAATTTTTTAATATATTAAATATATATTTATATACGCATTTTTATTAAATTATATTTTTCCCTAAGATTTATTTTAAGACAAAACTTTATTCGAAATCGCAGAAAGTAAATAAGTTCTAGAAGGAAAATTTACTACTATAGTTTATTTATTTATTTAAAAATGACAAAACCTGCATGTACCATTATTTAATTTATTTTGATTACTATATATTTTGCACCCTTCAAGAAGTAAATTATAGTTTAAATTAAAACAAATTAATGTAGATATCAAAAGAAAAACCTGGCATATTTTAGAAAACACCTGACAAATCTCCCTACTTGTGTGCTTTTAATTATATATATTTACCTATAATTTCTAGTGCATTATTTAGAATTAATGAACCTTGTTTTCCCCAGTGTTTCTACTCACAAAAACCAAACAAAATGAGAGACAGCTGGAGAGACAGTCGGTTGGTTTTTGGTCGGCTAACGCCCAAATGGCGTTTTAAGCACACATAGTGCGCATTAATGAGCCCGACTCCGGGGTACTGGAGACGTAGCTCTAGCTCTAACCCGGGGAGTTGGGCTTAGTTTATGGCCTTGACAGGCGGACGAGGCGAGGAGAGACCCCCTCAATGCCGGGCAGCCAAGCATGTAGCATCAACATACACCACATACCAAACATCATCCCCGAACCCGAACCCGAACCCGAATCCGTATCCAAATCCCAGTACAAAATCCATTCGATGCGTTGCGGAGATGTCTGTCAAAAGCTGCGCTGTCTGTCGAGCATTTTCGTGAATAATTTCCACAAAAATATGTGTTATTTGTGCGCCATTGAATGCACACATGTGTGTTGTTGTGCCAAAGCAATGAAAACTGTCACCGCACACCGCGGGCAAATATATGTACATACATACATCTAGAGGTGGAATATGAAAACCCCAAAACCCCTCCCTACCCCCTCCCATTGCTGTCTGTTTGTGTACAATGCATGTGGCAAGTGTAAACATTTCAACAGATTTGACCAATACTACAATCGAACTATCTATCGGGATGGGGAGATGGGGGTATATATATATGGGGAGGACTGGTCGTCTGTCTGTCTGCCTTTAAGGGGTGTGGGTGTTGCATCAACAAGTAAGCAGAAAATAGGGGTGTGTGGTTGGAATCACCAGGTGATAACTATACTTATAGATAACTCAAGAATCATAGGGATATTTGTAAGAAATTGCAAAGACTATAAGGTATTTCAGACAGTTTCTTAATGTATAGTTAGCTAAACTGTCAGTTAACAGAACTTTAAGTTAACTTTTAACGGAGAGAAGAGAGAAATGAAATATATACAAAGCAAGAATGTGTTAGTTCATTTTGTATCCCTTAACAGCCTCTTTCATTGTTTAACCTTTGGTTAACAAACCAGAGATTGAGAAAATCCTGGTATCTTATGTACAAAATAGGGCAAAGTAATTGAAAAAATATTATGTATACATATAAATTTATATATAAATATATATAAAAAGAAATATATAAACGAATCTAGGCTGTGTTATATTACTCATTTTTTAATCCCTTAACAGTCTCTGTTACTTATTCAATCTTTGGTTAACAAACAAAAGATTTTAAAATTATAATGAAAGGAAAAACTTTACAACTATTAAACAAACAAAACTAGGAACTTTTTAATAAATAAACAAAAGAAACTAGGGAAAATACCCAGACATAGCTAGAAAAAAAACTGCGAATCCATAGGGAAATAGTAAGTAAAAGCAAATAAATAAATATATATAAAACCTAGAAAAATCATAGAAGCAAAGGAAACCCCTCAAAGCTGAGGGAACAACAAAAAAATAAATAAAACAAAGAACGACGCCACTGGGCGATTTTTGTAATCCCCCCGAGAGAGCAAAAAAAAGGGTGAACATTGAACATCGAAGCCCGCATTTGTTGGGCAGCAATCAGCTTAATTCGTTCAATTCACTTTTGGGCAAATTGATTAACCAATTGATGTTACTCCCAACCCTCTTCCAGCGAGCGATTAGAGCCGTTTCCAATTCCAATTCCGCTTCCAATACCCGAATTCCCGATGCCGGCTTGGGCTCGCCCACGCGCTTTCTTTTCCCCCCTTTTTTTTATAAATTTTTTGCTGGCTCGAAATTTGTTGAAATTTGTATGCATTTTGATTTGCTAACGATTATTTTATTTATATATTTATTTTATTCCAAATGAGTGTTAGTTGAGCTCGGACTTAAGCGGGGGCTAGAAGCTTGGCCAAAAGCCAAAAACCGGTTTGCCATTTGTCAACTTGTCGGCGACAGTCGAAAATGCGAAGCCCGTAAAAGCTTCACAAAATAACAATTCTCTTCAACTGAAACCGAAGAAAGAAGCAGCAGCAGTTGTAGCACTAGAAGTCACTGAGAAGAATCTGTTACGAATAGGGAATACTCTCGAAAATAATTTGGAATTTTTCTTAAAAAACAGCATGAAATGTAGGGATTGAAAGAATTATTCCTTGCATAAATCAAGATTGTCTAAAAATAATTTCGATAAGAATTCATTCTTGAAAAGTACAGGGTATTCCAGAGCTTATTTTTCCAAAATTACATTTACGAAAATTTTGTTCTAAGAATTCCCCTTGAAAACTAGGAATTACGATAGTAATTCTGGAAGATAATTCTCCAAAATTTGTATACATCTCCAGAAGAATTCATCCTTTAAAAGAACAAGTAATTCCAGAACTCATTTTTGCAATAATAGAATCTCTAATTTCCTTCACAAGAATTCCCTTTACAGAACAGGAATGATTGATTCGATTCGATTGTGGTAAACCAAGTGAGTGTAATATATTAAACATTTGTTTACGTATCCAGAAGAATTCTTCTCTGGAAGAACAAAGGATTGAATAGCGATCATTTCCAGTTATTCCAATTCCAATTCCACTCCCAATTCCATTTCGACTTTCAACT